GTTCGATGGGGCCCCAAAGACCATTTAGTCCAACTCCCTTCCATGCAAATGATAAGAAAATTTTAAACAGCTTTAAAAAAAACAAGAAAAAGAAAAAGAAACAAAACAGAAAATCCTGTCTTTCCAAGCCTGTGGCTATGAAGCATAGAGATCTATGTATTCAAATAGTGCTTATTTGCTGTGGCACTTTTTTTGGGAAGCGCCTCTTCTTTGACATGTCTATAGCAGGAAGGAGCAATATTGTTCTCCCCATGCCAGCTTTAAATGTACTTATTGGATTTTTGATCAAGAGAAAGGCAGAATATAAATAATTTGGGGAAGATTTAGGTTACAGCCTGCTTTTAAATAATTTATTAAAATTTGTAAAAAAAAATATAGCTCAGAACAGAGAGAATTTGAGATTTTAAAACTGTATGAACTGTATGAAACAAAGCAAAATGGCAAATTGCCTGTGGGTCTGTTTTATTATTTTGTAGTTCTGTTAAGGCACCACATTTCACGTGATCTTGAAAGCTAAGCAGGGTAAGCCCTGGTTAGTAGTTAGATGGGGTGCCACCAACAAGTACCCAGTGATGTTGGCTACATCAGAGAGGAAGAAACTGGCAAAACCACCTCTGAGTATTCCTTGCCTAAGTAAACCCTATGAAATTTATGGAGTCACCATAAATCAACAGGGACACACACAGGGACACACAGAGAGACACTGTTTTATTGTTTTGTCAGCTCATTGCAGCTTTTAACAGAGCCTCTTCTGTTTTTGTTGGTAGGCAACCAAAAATGTCAGACACCGAAGAGATCATTGAGGACAATGAAGAGTATGAAGAGTAAGTGTTCATTTTTCTCTCTCATTCTTTTCCTGACCCAGGCAGTGACAGATTATCTTTCTGCTGCTTTTCTGACACTGTGACTAATGGGTTTGGTTCCATAATCATTCAGATATGCCATTCATATTCTTGAAGAACATGGTCCTGGGATGAGAGGAATCCTGCCATGAAATTACTCTGAATGGTGTGGGTGTTTATTAATAGCAAATTCCTTGTAGAGGGTGGTGGGAAAGTCCCAGTGGAAGTCAATATTCACAACCTGTTTTCTCTGTGAGAGTCTCAGAAAATGACCTTGCTTTCTCAAACCCTAACTTGAAATGATATCTCTATGGTCAGCAGTTCTGGTTCCAGCTTACATAGGGGCTTAAGAAAGGATTAGAGCATGAAAAAAATTACTCTAAGGATCCCAGCCAACAAGACTAGTGCCACATATTTACTGGGGTAATCTGGTGTGCCTCTTCACTGTAGAATTAATGCAGTTTGATGACACCATAACTCTCATGGCTTTATGCTATGAAATCATGGGAGTTGTAACTTTACAAGGTCTTTTGCTTTTTCTGGCAAAGAGTTCTGGTGCCTCACCAAATTATAGCTCCCATAAGTACATAGCATTAAGCCATGTCAGTTAAACTGGTGCCAAACTGCATTAATTCAACAGCATTGGTGTGCCCTAAGGGTTTAGTTTCCCCCCAAACTTTGAGCAAGATGTTCCTGATGAGCTCTCATGTACTGAGTGAATCTCATCACTTGATCTCTTTATCAGGCATGGTGTTCAAAAAACCAAATGGAGCAAGAGATAGGGAAGAAAACTTGATTCAGAATTGATGCTGAAGTCTCATAAACTTTATCACAACTTGGAAAATATATTTGTTTTACAATTCCAATAGTTGCTAGTTGCTTGGAGTTGTAGACCAAATGGTATTTTTTTCCAAGCTGTTGTCAGGGTCTGAAGATGAAATGCTGAGAACAGATATTCCAACTATATTTTTCCAGAAGATTGAATAGTTTCATGTTTCTCCTCAACTTGTCTAGAATTGTTGGGAGAAACAGTGGGGAAATAACAGCAACGCCAACACACCTTGCTCTTAAGTGAATACATTTTCATTGTTTAAAGCATGTGTTCCTACAGCTTGTTTAAAGCATGTGTTCCTACAGCTTACTTGATACATGGAAAACAAACACAGTGAAAAACATATACATTTTAAAAATCTGGAAATAAATTGAAATGGTATATTAGGCAAAGACTTTAAATTACAACAAAAACCTAAGAAAAAAATAGAAATACTGTCATTAAACTGCATATCTGCCCAAAGACTAAATGTCTCATGAACATAAATTATTTTGTGATTTAGATATATTTGCAGCTCTAGGAATCGCTTGTGCTTTTTTTTTTTGATGCTGTTAGTCTCCACCCCTCATACTTGCATAGTTTTCTATACGCCCACATCTCACTCATCAGCTTCTCCCATGATCTCCTCTACACCAAAGATGGATCCTATAGAGACATATGAAAAATAGACTTCCAGAAGCTGTTTCATTCCTTCTGTTCTGGTATTAGGTCTCCATTTTTATCAACACCTGTTCCAGTTACTTGAGCTGCATCTCCAGCTGATGTATAATTTGAGGTCATGTGCTAACATGTCTGATAAACGTTCTACTTCCATAGATTACACCCTTCAAGAGAATTTAGTGCTAGATCTGTAAGGCAGTTCATTTAAACATAGTCTAATTTACAGCTTTTATCCTAGATATTATAAGATCCAGATAAATACTAGACATTTCTGCTAGGAATGGGATTGGGGAGTGTATATTTAAAATTCCAGATCCAAAATAGAAAGTTAATGGTAAGTGACTGGTACGTCTTATCACATGGGAAAAGAAGCTTCCTAGGAGGCTTCTGTCCCAGTTCACTAATGGAGCTCCATGCTGCCCATCAGATTATGTAGGCTAACTTCCGGCAGGGCTATGTGGGTGAACTGGGGTGGCAGCATGGTAGGACAGTGTCACTGGCAACACAGAAATCTCCCTGTGTTCTGTAAGGAACAATAGGGCTACCACAGGTGTCATCTGTGTGGTGATGCTTCCCCACGTGTGATTGGGAAGTGTTAACTGCTGGATGGTGTGCCGGGATTGCACCGCTGTCACCCCACTGCCACCCTGACTTACCACAGAGGCTGGTGAAATGGAACTCTTTACCTCATCCATGTGATGAGGTCCTAAGTCCAAATTGCACAATAATCTGTGCTTGAAAGGCTTGGAGGTGTCCACATACTCTGTACCTGTCTTTCCACAACATGGGTCCAATTCACCACATGGAAAAGGGAATGACAGCAGTGGCCTGTATGGGCTGTGGATCCAATCATGTTAATAATTTTGGGCTAAACATCCCTGGATGTCATGTAGACATCCAGGAGCAACTTCTCACTCAATACAAGACTATACAGCCTGAGTAGACAAGACATAAGTCGATGACTGAATGTTTTTTAGGACATACATTGTGAAATGCTGCCACATATCTTTCTTTATTGGTTGTTATTAAGGATTTCAATTTCTCCTCCATCTTCTCAAAAACCAACTGCCTGCTGCTCATCACCAGCATGGCCATGTAATGTCTGGTGGAGATGGGGATGGGGAACCAAGAAGCATATTGCTATGTCTGTTTAGTCAGGTGCAAGGAAATGAAGGCACCCTCCAGGACATTGGAGTGCTAGTGTGGAGGATTTTTGACTAAGATGAGAAGAAAGACAGGAAATATTTGCCCAGTTCTCAGTGTAAGATTGTGGCTTATGTAACACAACCATACAACAAGCATTAGAAAGAACAGCAAATTGCACCCAAAATTACAGGGGGTGATAAAAGGGAGGAAGAGTGCTTGATAACCTCTGCGTTAAAAGTTCACTTCTCTCCCATCCATGCCACTCTTTCTGAAGTCTGGCAGACATTAGCCCACCATATCCCCAGCTAAATATATTTCAGTGAGATGGGCTTTTGAGTCTTTGGGAGAATAGACTGGCTGATTTTATGCTTGCAAAATAATTTGCCAAGACTCTGAGCTGAAGTATCCCAGCCCTCCACCACTGTAGGAAACAAGGCTGAACCCTGAGCTGATGCTACCATCTGGTGCTGATTGGATGGGCTTTTTTACTCTTGATAAAACATTTCAGTACTGTTCCATTATTCAGGCAATCATAGAGAGAGAAGGATAGTCCACTTTATGGGGGCGGGGGGAGGGTTGAAGGAGGAAAACAATTTCTCCCATTATCGCTGATTATTCCCCCTCCTCCTTTCCCATATCATAAACACGGGGACTTGGGTAGGGGGAATAACAGGAAAACAGGAGGAAATGGTTTTGCTCCTTCGACACACCCTCCACACGCATAAAAGGGACCATCCTTCTCTCCCTAGTGCCCCCTGGTGGCCTCTGTCTAGATAATGGAACAGTACCAACATTTCTTTAACTAGTAGTTCAATGACTTGGCATAAGTGAGGGAGTCTAATCATCCTGCTTTGCTGATGACTTGTAGAGACTAGCCTAAGTTGGGAACTACTGCCACCAGCTGGACAGAGTCAGATCAGAAAATAATACTTGATCATAATGAACAAAAGCATATTGAGGCATCATAGTTACTAACCCTGGAGAGGATAGTGAAAAAAATGCTTTTTTTTTTTACAATTCCAAGAATCCCTATGGAGCATTTTGACAAGGGACTCATTTCAGTAGTGTCAGAGGTTTTGGACCTTATTCTCTTAAGCCATTTTGTCTGCCTACAGGAGGGATCCAAATTATCACTTAACACCAATCTTACATTTTTAACTCTGACATTAATATGTATTTACAGGCTTTTGCATTGTTCCTAAAATAATACATGGAAGGAACCAAATATTTTAAACAGAAGCTGGATGGCCATCTTTTGGGGGTGCTTTGAAAGCAATTTTCCTGCTTCTTGACAGGGGGTTGGACTGGATGGCCCATGAYGTCTCTTCCAACTCTATGATTCTGTGATTTCTGAATTAAAATCATTTTTGAATTCTTRTACTGTTTTAACTGAACTGTTTTCTTTTTTTCCTTTCAGGGAACAGGAAGGTAAGAACACTAAAATTATTCAGTTAAAGTGATTTATCCAAATAATCATCATAACTCTGATTTTTTTTCCTTTCTCTTTTCCGGCTTGTGGCAGAAGACTTTATTGAAGAAGGTAGGCTTATATACTCATGACAACAGCCATAATATTTGAGGTTCTCATTCAGACAGAACATAATATCCTTTTCATCATTCAGTGTAGCTAAGCTATCTGTAAGTTCAGTATCTGATTGGAGGGGGGGGAGGGGTCATCTGAGCCGTGATTGTGAAGAAAGAAAGGGGAGGCCTTCTTTGTAGTGGCACCCAGTACATACAATTTCTATTTCTATTCACATGAGTTTAGGCTTCCTCCTATACTTATGATCAACTACTATGTAGAAAATTGTCTGTTACAATAAACTTTCACTTAGGTGTCCATTTTATTCCTGCTCTCTCTAATGCTTCTGGTGGTTCATCAGCACTCTTTGACAAAGAAAGTTAAGGACCTTGTTGAACTACAACACCTATGATTCCATAGTAACATTCTGCTTTAATTCTGTAGTGTAGATGCGTCATTAATTGCTGATTTACTTGACTTTTCGACAGTTATTGCTGAAAGATGTATTATGATGTATTTTAACTGTTGTAAGTGTTTAGAAGGGAAGACTGACTGACATCTTTTTTGAATAAATAAACAAAAACAAACAAAAATAAACAACTGTAATCGAAAAAAATTAAGCTAACCTTAAAAGGGCATATAAGGAACACATTTATTCACCCAGGTTGATTTCTTGAGAATGCCATTTTAACATGCCAAAAGACTATGAAAAAAGTTTGAATAACTGGATTGTTCTTAATTTTGTTCTATGAATACCTAAACGATTACTTTATGCATCTAAGCAGACTATTTAAGTGCAAATTGAAGTCAAACTAGCTCATGGGAAAACAAGTGTCAGATAAGCTTTCTGTTACTTGCAAAGATTTGCTAGAAGCTAATTGGTATGTTTCATTTTTACGTGCACACTGCTCTTATGTGTTTGAATGAAGACATAATTAGTGATGTCTGCTGCGAATGTACTCCTGGCCTTAATATGCTGTTGCTTCTGCTAATATCTGATTTCACAAATGCTTAGCACCAGAAAACTGGCTATTGGCACAAATGTGAAGCAAAAATCAGCACTGATTGAGAAAGCCATGCTATCTGTAGAAATATTAGTTTGACACTACAGCTTTATGTGATCCCTTGCTAACCTTCTTTACTTATTCCCTTTTACTCCCTCTGGTTTGCCCTGGTTTAGAAGAAGAAGAATGGATAGAGGTGGAAGATGGTAGTAGAACATTTCTGTTCATTTTACTTTATTGCTGCTTATTAATGATACAGAATATTCCTTGCTGTTTTGTGCATGAGACACATATCATATTTGTACTGTGCATCAGCATGCAACAGAAAGCTAAACAGATTTGAAAGTTATTCCCTCTTCCAAGGGAGTCCAAGGGAAGAAAGTCTAAGGCTCTCTAATAGACTATTCTCAATGTGGCACCAAAATAATTTCCCAGATTTTTTGAACAAGTACCAACATTATTGTTGTCCCACTTTGGTAGGAATGGTCCTGATTAATCCTCTGCCATCCCACATTTGCAATGTTCATATTCATACATAAATGATTCGTGCTACATCGAACCAATTGGCTTTTTGGTCCAGCATCTGATTTTCCCCTTCCAGAAGCTTCAGGGAGGCACACTAAGGCTAATCAACTGGAAAGGCACTGAAATAGATCACTTTCAGGGTCCTTCCACACAGCCCTATATACCAGAATATCAAGACCTTCCACATAGCCCTATATCCCAGAATATCAAGGCTGAAAATCCCACAATATCTGCTTTGAACTGGGTTATCTGAGTCTACACTGCCATATATTCCAGTTTAAAGTAGATTTTGTGGGATTTTCTGCCTTGATATTCTGAGATATAGGGCTGTGTGGAAGTTCCTCAGTCCTCCGCTGTCCTACCCAAACTCTGGTGGCCTCATGAGGTGGAAGTTGTTCTGCATTGTGGTCCTGCTGAGGTGGGTAGAAGAGAGAGCAAGAGGGTGAAAAGAAGGGAAAGAAGAAGGAAGGGGGCTGCTTACAGCAATAAGCTGAAGCTTGGAGAAGGTAATCCTGGAGTCTTTTCCCATGATGGCTGAAACACAAGGCAGGTGAGCAGGTGGGTGGCCACCTTGCCATTGGTTGTCAGAGTGGGGAATTGAGCTTCTGAGGATTTTGGTATCTGTCTGGCATCCTGGAAAAATCAGTATTGTCATTCATTAGCCATGTTCTGTCTCCCATCTTCTTTTCTCCTTTGGGAAGCATCTTAATTACTTGATTTCATGATCTCAGATAGAATGCTCCCCAGAACATGAGAGAAGCCTCCTACAAGGACGGTAAAACATCAAATATCCAGGCGTCCCCTGGGCAACATTCTTGCAGACGGCCAATTCTTTCACACTAGAAGTGACTTGTAGTTTGTAGACTTGTAGTTTGTAGTTTCTCAAGTCACTCCTGACACACACACACACAAATAGAAGTAAAATAATCAGATCTTAATGTTTAATTATTTCATAGAACAAGAAGAACAAGAAGAACAAGCAGAGGAAATCAAAGAAGATGCAGAGGAAGTCACAGCTGAAGGCACGTATTGATGTCATGGAGAGCTAGCTATGTCTTATCAAAATATAGAAGATCAGACCAGGGAGGTGCAGCATCAATGATGAAAATAGGTCAAATTTGGACCTGGGATGCAGTGATGAAGCTACAATCTGTCTCCCCATCAAAAATTGAACTGTTTTTGGTATAGTCAAGTGCTCTGATTTTTATAACTCTGAGATCGTATCATCCTCCATCCTGTAGATTCTGCTGTTGTAAAAGGTTGGGGGCAGAGAGGACATTGCTTTGCTTTCTGTAGTTGCCAAATACCAGAATAACAGTAATGTAAACCTTCCCAGCAATGAGTGAGTGAACTATGAAGCATGCTAGGAATGATATCAGACCCAGCTTAGAGGAAATAAAACATATCAAGAGGGAGCCGGGATTCTAGACAACTTCATTCATGTGGAAAAACTCTAATCAAATTTCTTTGCCCTTCTTTTAAAATAGAACAAGAAGAGCAAGCTAAAGAACCAGAAGAAGGTAAATGAAATGGGGACCCTATGTGTCTCGGGGCCAATATAGGAACAATCTTTTTGGATTGATTCTGATCTTGACTGTTAGGGTTACCAAGTTGATCTTACGATACAGAAATTTCACAGAAATGAACCTATAGATGTATAAATTCCTTAACCATCCCAGCTGTATTAAAGAAGATACTCGAATTCCCCTTCCCAGCCATATTTGGGGGCCAGAGGTGGTAAGGAAAGGGACAAATCCTTCATCTCTCTTCCACCTTTCATTGCTTTAGAAAATCTAGGAGATAAATCTTTGTCCAGAACCACAGCAAATAATATTATATCCCAGTCTTTGTTCAATGGCGTATTTGCATGGAGGAAAACATTAACAATACACACTATAAAATTAACTCCAGAAGTTATGAAAAAGAGTTTGAAAACTGTAGTATAACTGGGAAACCAAAATCATTTCTCCTCCTAAAACCAGCATAGGCTTTAATGGAGCCAGTGGAAAAGTAGGAGCTGCAATCTCTACAGATAGAGCAAATATTTTTTTCTTCTGAAATGTTCATTTGGTTTCTTTCAGGGGAAACTAAGCCCAAACCCAAGTAAGTATGCATATATGTATATATACTTTCGGCTTTTTGTTATAGTATAAGCGTAATTGCTGATGCAGTTGTAGAGAAGAAGGGAGAGAAGCAGTAAGTGCAAACTTACTGGAGAGAAATTAAAAGACAGGTTTCAAAACTTCATGATGGAACTGGTGACTCTATTAACTGGAAAACACAGTCACCCTGTTTTACAATCTGCCAGGTGCTGTTTAAAACTGCAGAGCTCTATTAAATTCAGAAATCTTTCCCCATTTACTTCAAATTGCTCTTGCATAGATTTTCACAATGTGAACTAGAATTGGGCTGGGGGACATAATGATTTGCCCAATACTATTGAATAAGGGTTGGACTTTTTGTTGGTTATACATTGCATTTCCCATATCTGTTGGAAATACATCCCTGGATTTCATGTCAATATGTGAAACTACAGATATTAGTGAATCCTGTTATTTTCCATGGGGTGAATTATGAAGAAACTGTAGCTTGTATAAAAACCTCTAAGTGAATAAGTGAAACTTTGGATGAGTGAAACCACATATATTAGTTTTGCGGATATGGAGGCTGCACTGGATTTTAATGTACCTGGCATCCTGTGGGTTAATTTCAACAAGAATAGACTCATTCAGTCAATTGTTTACAAATTGCCACCCCTTTCCTGAAAAAAATACCCTAAAAGCATGATGTTGAAAAAAATGCATAAAATACAAAAATTTGATTACAAATTGCTCAAATAAAAACAAATTTATTACAATGAAACAAAAAACTATACAATACATTCAGTAGAAAAACTGGGAGATAAAATTTGAACTCGTATCAAAATTTAATGAAATAAAAAGCTTTTAGCAGTTTCTATGGGACTTAAGAGGGAGGGAGTCAACTCAATGGGACTAGGAAGGGAGTTCAACAATTAAATATTATTATTGCTTTTGATATAGAGATAATGTAGGGCCCTGCTAAGTACTCAGCAGATAAATCATGCCAAAAGTGTTGTAGCAGCTTTGCTTAAAGACACTTGTGTTAATGTCTTCTGTTTACGAGTAGTAACCTGCTGGATAAGTGACCCTGGGCAAACTAATAGGACAGCAATGGTAAACCACTTCTCAATAAATCTTACCAAGGAAATCCCATGACAGGATTGCCATACATCAGAAATGACTTGAAAGAACACATACAAAAATGAGCACCCAGTTTATAAAAAGTTGGGCATGAGCACATGTGTGTGTTTGTGTTATGAGGCCCCATATCTTGGGCTTAAAGGAGGTAGGCCTACACTGCCTGCTTTGTGGCACATTCCCATAGACCATCAACTCTATCATTATGTCTGGAATCACGCTGAAACAGAACACCTTCAAATTTAGAATTGCACCCCATAAGCAAAATCCATCACAATATTTTTGACAGGAAGATGGGCCCTCCTAGCCAATAGGACTCTGCTTAAGTACAATGGTAAATCTGGCACTGATTATAGTATAATAATCAAAAGCTAGAGTCCCATACTAGTTTACCTGAAAATAAGTTCCAAACTCTGTAACTCTACAACCTCAGATTGGATACTTGTAGCTCCCTAAATATTCATGGACTCTGGTTCCCATCACCCTTGGCCCTCCTGGACAAGTCTGATGAAATCTGGAGTACAAAAAGTGCTAATAATATATATTGTATACACATATAATCCCTAAGGATATCAGATCGGCACCCTCCCTTTTAATATTTCAAAAGAGAGTCAAGACTTGGCTCTTTGAGCAGGCATTTCCAAATACAGTGTAATAAACATAGGAAAATTGAATGGTTGAATGATGATTGGACAATGTTTTAATAGGAGACCCTAATGTTTATGTTTTTATTGATTTTGTTATGGTTTTATTATCTGATTGTTTTTATTGTGCTGAAATTGCATTTTATGGTCTTGGCACCAATTGTAAACCGCCCCAAGTCGCCTGAGGGCTGAGAGGGATAATATAGAAATATGGTAAATAAATAAATAAATAATATTATAATGTTATACTATAATACTACTAATAATACAATATAACAATTATATATATTATATTACATGCAATATTACTAATAATATTACAGTATAGTGGTGTAGTACAATATGGGAATATATGGTACTAATATTGTGCTATGCTAATAATATAATATGTTGTATTTACATATCACTTGTAAGCCGCTCTGAGTTCCCTTCAGAGGGAGAAGGGCAGCATATAAATGTCGTAAATAAATAAATAAATAAAAAGATCTGGGAAGTCATAGGTTTTTCACACTTGCTATTGAGCTTAATCGATGCATGGATGGATGGATGGATAAAAAGATAGAAATAAGTATAGTTAATACAGTCTTTGAAAATAAAGAATTAACTGCTTGCAAATAGACACTGGGAAACATGACAGGCTGTAGGGACTAGAAAACAGATATGGTATCTCAAGCATAGCATTCCCACCCCAGCATGCCCAGAGATGAAGTTGTTACAGCTGCTCACTTAGATATATAAGCCTAGTAAAGAAAAAATAAGACCACAGTGACAGGTGTGGTCATTGTAAAAAGCCTAGTGACCATGATGACATTCCATACGGCGCCCTTCCATGAGCTATAAATTGTCCCCTTGACTTGGAACTGACAACCAGTTTACATAAAATGTGCATCATGGGTATTGAGATTTGTTATTATTGTTGTTATTACTGATTTTTATTGTTATTGGGTTTAATGTATTTTTCATTTTAATTGTGATAGAGGGTCTTTTCTATTTCCTAAAAAAACACAGAGGCTCTGATTTTTTTTTAAAAAAAGATGAGTAATACCTCTTAATATTACTAACTATATATTACATTGGCCATTTGGATGCATATGCAATTATTATTTTTACATTAATTGTCCACTCTAGGTATTGAAGAATCCATGAGAATAGTATTCTAACTTTGTTTTTTTGTTCTTTTTTTTTTTTTTTTAAAAAAAAGCCTTATTGATACCACCTTTAATTGGAAAGAACAGGTGATAATGGCACACAAGAGGCATACCTACACTGGCTATTTGATCTAAGGCCAGTCCAGAGCAAGTGACTACACATTCCATCCACAACCTATAGTAGAGTCTAGCTGGACCAAGACTGTTCAGCCTCACTGGACCATCATCTTACCATATGTATTACTATCACCACTGCCAGACAGCCATAGAATTCCATGAGAGTTTCTGGACATAGTGCATGCTCCTTACTCACCTCAGCAGAGGTTCCTGTGAGGAAGAACAAAGGGATGATTCCTGATTAGTGTAAAGAAAAGGCAATTGTGGCAGTGCCTTTTCTAATCTTACTGTCCACATTGTACTTAGGTCACAATATTACACTAGAGCTTCAACCAAGCTCCAGCTTTTCTAAATGCAAGGCTAAATCACCTTAACCGAAGTAGACATGCCCAAGGGCTCCTGAATGATTTACCCCAGGGGCAAGCAGTAAACCAATGGGGGAGTGAATCCATTTTGTTTTAAAGAGGCTCATCCTTCAGCTGCTCCAGGATGTATAAGAGCTGTCTCAGTCCTGAAATATGGAAATATGGCTCAGCATCTAGATCAGGCCAGAACAACCTATTGCCCTCTAGGTGTTTGGGACTCCAACTCCTAGAAGTTAGCCAACTTGTCAAATGAGCAGAAATTCTGAGACTTGAAGTCCAAAACACCTGGAGAGCCACAGGTTGTGCAAGCCTGATCTTCATGAAACGCTCATGAAAGCAAGAGATTTGTTGTCTCCCATACATGGTTTGATCTAATTTTGCTTGTTGTTCTTTGCCTTCAAGCTGTTTCCGACTTCTGACAACCCTAAGGTGAAGGTGTCACAGGATTTCTTGCCAAGATTTGTTCAAAAGAGGCCCAGAGAGCATGACTGTCAAAGGTCATCCAGAGGGTTTCATAGCTGAGTGGGGATTTGAACTCTAGTCTCCAGACCTGTAATCCAGTGCTCAAACCAATATACCAAGCTGGCTCATGATTAAAGCAATCTATTTATATGGTGAAACTCTTGCTGTTATTCTATTAGAGAGCCTGCATAACTAAATGCTTGCCTCAAAAATGATAAAAGCCAAGCAAAATAAAAATATAGAAGTCCTGCTGCAATTGCTCACTGCATTATGGCTTGCTGGCTGTGGCAGCAGTGGCAGGCAGAGGCTGTGTCAGCACCACAGAACACTTACTGTTGGCATGGCTGGTTGGCTTTTAAGGTGTGGTTGAGGGGCATTAAATATTATAGCAGTGGCACCATAGTTTTCAATGTAAAAAAGAAAAATGTACGAAGTTGTAAGTCTAGCTGATGACATCATAAATACCGAACAGGATGCTAGCCATTGTCTTGGCCACACTGGACTGAAACTTAGAAACAAACTCTTTGAAATTAATTGGATTAAGGGTGACTACATGCTTGGGTCTGCTGTGAAAACAGAGATGATGTCAATCAACACTTGGGTTTATAAAAAGAGCTCATCTGAAACAGAAGTTAGGTGCTGTAATGTCAATGTGTTACCTCTTTATTTCCCCATTAATTTCAGACTCTTCATGCCAAATCTGGTACCTCCAAAAATCCCTGATGGAGAAAGAGTGGACTTTGATGTGAGTATTATCCACTGCCACCTCAATAAACCCAGTTTTTATTGCTTTTATATTCATTGGCAGATTGCTTTGCTTTTGATGCTGTGCAATAACACGATGCCTTTGCCATCTGTTGTTTTTTTTGCCTTGTAGGACATTCACCGCAAGCGAATGGAAAAGGATCTGAATGAACTGCAAGCCTTGATTGAGGCCCATTTTGAAAACAGGAAGAAAGAGGAGGAAGAGCTGATATTCCTCAAGGACAGAATTGTATGTTGAATTGCAGCATATCACTTACCCAGTTGTTTTTATGATGACAAAGCCCACATCAGGCTATAGATTTAATAAGATGGTATATTGCTATCTGCCAGAGTAGTTTAAATGTTTTGTGACCAGATTTGGAAATGCCTAATGTTTATAGCTTTAAAAAAACCCTGTCAATGTTTAGATTCCATAGATTATGGGAGTTGACTCTGAATATTATGGTTATTGGAATCTAGAAACTAAGAATGAAAGGCATTAATGAGAATGTGGTTTTTTCTGTGATAAATATATTTTTCTTCCATTGAGAAATAAGTGCCTTGGTAATCACTTGCACACTGTATTTACCTGACTGATTGATTGATTTTGTATACCTTCATTGTCCCAGTACTGATACTCAAGGTGGCTGATAGCATATTTAAAAACAATACAGATAAACAATTACCTTCCAACCATAAAACAAAGTATACTACATGCGAGACAGATAGGTGAGGAAAATTTTGGTTTTCACAAATAGAAATCTTTCATCACTTGAAAGTGAACCTCAGAGATTAAGATTGTTTGGGGAGGCCCTGCTCTCAGTCCTGCCTTTTTTGCAGGGGTGATTGGTGGGGATGAGAGACAGGGCCTTCTCAGTGGAGGCCCCTCGGCTGTGGAACTCCCTCCCCAGTGACATTAGATAAACCCCTTCCCTCCTGGCCTTCAGAAGGAAAGTGAAAATGTGGTTTTGGGATCAAGCCTTTGGAGAATAGTTGCTATGTAATAATAGATATGGAATAGGTGCAATATCTATTGGAATGGCTCTGGACTACGATTATGGATAGTGTGATTTTTAATACTGAATGTAATGTTTTCAAATGTTTAATATGTATTAATTTTAATTTTAAAGTTCATTAGAATTATATGTTGCTGTAAGGCATTGAATAATTGCCTATACGTAAGCCACCTTGAGTCCCCTTCATGGTTGAGAAAGGTGGGGTATAAATAGGATAAATAAATAAATAAATAAATAAATAGGTGTATCACATGATTTGATCCTAAAGATGTAATCCTAAACACACTTAGCTAGAGAAGAAAGACTATTGGATTTTATTTTTGAGTTCACATGCCATAAAACTAAAATTTACATAATTATGTTTTATAGTTGTACATGTAGCAGTAATAATAAAAAAATTCTCTCTTTCAAGTACATGTTCATGCAGGCATGTATTTCACCAAAGCAAAATTACAATGGGTTGAATCCAGATTCTGTCAAGGTTAGAGCAGAGTCAATAAAACTGAAGGGGTTTGAGTTAGTCGTGATTTGCTTGTTTTATTAATTTAAATGGATTTACTCAAAGCATGATGAACTCTGGAATCTACTTAGTATATTTTCATGATGGCATACATTTTCCCTTTCAAAAACATGCATACAAATTAGGAGACTATATCAAGTAAATTTACCTTTTAGCTATTGTTTTGATTTTCTTGCAGCTTTAGTGCCCTTTGTGAAAGTGGGAGAAAGTAGGGGAATGTTTGAGTAGAGTTCTTTTCTCACCCAAATATTGGAGCAGTGATTTCTATGGAATTTTAACTCTTGAAAATATGTCTTCTGCTCTTCTTATGGATCTTGTGTGTCTTCATGTTCTGCCTCCAAATCAGTCTGCCCCCTACTCCCCAATATGCTTTTTTCCATTAAGGGGTCTGAACTAAGAAATTGTGAATGGCCATAGCTAATTTCCCGCTTGATAAATTTTGCAGGATGCAAAATGGGTGGATCATCAAAAGAGAAGCAAATAATTTGTTGATATGATGGATGCCCTCTTCAGCTTCACCTGAGTATTTCAGCTCTTGGGAACATCTCATACAAATTGTCCCTTGAGACTTCAGATCGCCCCAGGCATCTGGTGTGGTCACTATACTAAATGTTTATTGTTTGGTCCTTTGTGGTAATATGTCCAGTTCTCCTTTTTAATTCATAAATGAATATTAGGGGTGTGCAAAATGTCATTATCAATTCATTTTTGGACCTAAATCATGAGATTTGTACATCCAAAGCAATATTAAGAAATACAAAAGGTGGCCACTCAAAAAGCTTAAGAGACTGATCTATGACTTTCAGATGAGTTATGTAAGTCTTGTAAATGGTTCCAGGTCTCCCATCACAGGTACCGCTTCTCCCTCAAAAGGGCTGGAGAGAGAAATCCCAAGCCCTGCTGATATGGAGGCAATGCAACACCTCAGTTTAAAAAGTAACTTCTCCAACTTGGAGAGGGAAAACTCAAGTACTTTAAGGTGTGAATGGAGCAGAATTCTGGGAAATGTAGCTTAGGGCAGGGCCTTTTGAATTCACTGCCACAGGAGTCCTCAACTTCCCAAACTTCATTTCTCAGAATTCTCCTTAGCACCTTGTGCTGCCTCCTCCACCTTCTCCATGTTTGTCCGCTAAAGAGATTTTGAAATAAAAAGGGATTGTTGGAAGTTGAATCAACCCTGTGAGGTAGGCAAAGTTGAGAGGCAGTAACTTCAAAGTTTGCCTAGTAGGTTTCTATTGTGATTGTGGATTGTTATTATTTTAAAGGATGGATGGGCATCTGTTGGGAGGTGGTTTGACTGTGCTTTTTCTGCCTGGCTGAAGAGGATTGGACTCCCCCCCCCCCCCTGGAATTACTTAATGAAAAGTAATGAAGAATTTGTTATATGATTGTAGTTACGATACAGACCTCGAACGACATTTTATAAACACTTTACAAACTATTCTCCATGCCCCCCTAATTTAGTAATGAGTATTGAGTCCCCCTTCGGGGGGAGAAGGACAGGGTATAAATATAGGAAATAAATAAATAAATATTGAAACATTTTTTCATTGGTCACACAGGCCTAATGAACATGTATCCAGATCAAGATGTAGAAAATGAAACAATGATAATTCATTATATAGCAAAGAAATTGAGCATCTATCAATATGTTGGTTCCATATATACAATAAAATATTTTTAGCTCAATTTGATATATTTTCCTGAACCCTTTCAACACTCTGTATTTCTGACTGGGTCTGATCATTTAACAGACAGGTCTTTGGTTCTATATGACCTCATATATCATTCCAAAGGCTGTGATTAACTGGTTTTACTCAGATCATGGAGGCTTTCTTAACAGTTACTATTCACCTTGTATTCTTATGCAAAGCTCCATTGAGTGAAGTAGGACTTATTATGTACTATGTGGGTTTAAGATTGCAATCACAGTATTCTGTTTTTAATGTTGGAAGGTATCATTTGGATTTTCTAATTCAGCTGTCAAAAGGTTTCAATCCAACCTCGTTGACAGCACTGGTGTTTTAGCTTCCATCATGGAAGCCCGAGGCCATATAGTTTGAGTTCAAAGCAGAACACTTATTGGTTAAGTATAAGATCAGAATCCCTTAAACAGTTGCATTGGACTTTTCCTTTTACAGGAACAGAGGCGAGCAGAGCGAGCTGAGCAACAACGGATCCGTAGTGAGCGAGAGAAGGAACGGCAGGCCCGCGTTGCTGTGAGTTGACCCAAAACCCATACTCCAAAGTGAATAGTCACTTCAAGGCTTTTGATAATTTTGAAAAAAAAAAGTGCTGCTATTCCTTCCTTCCAACCACAATTATTCGCCTTGCTGATTGCGCTCAGAATGTATGAGCTCATATGTGTTAGTATGGGTGCCTTTTCCCCATCAGTGGTCACCTCGATCCACCCAGGAAAGTCTCCTATACATACCAGGTCCTAGGGAGGCACATTTGGAAGCTGCAAGGCATAGAGCTTTTTCGATCTATGCTCCAATTCTGTGGAACTCATTGCCTCTATATATTAGAGCAATGTCGGAGTTGCGACCTTTTGTAAAGGCGCTCAAGACTTGGCTGTTTGGTTGTGCATTTAAGTAATCGGATCAAATTTTGCCATAGTCACTGCTGAATGTTTTTATGTTGAATGTTTTTATGTTGAATGTTTTTATATTGAATGTTTTATATTGTGTAAAATATAAGCTATTTAAAATTGTAAGTTGCTGCAAAACATAAGCTATTTAAAATTGTAAGTCGCTCGGAGCACTTTGGTGGAGAGCGACTAATTAAGAAATGAAGTGATGATGATGATGATGATTTCAGTGACTTGGAAATGAATGACACCAATGTCAAATGCTGTTTCTCAATCATCAGTTCCATGTGGGGCTCTTCACACTTTAACTGCCATTGCTATATCCAAAGTAATCCTAGGGGTTTGGAGGTTGGGTCAGGGCTCTAGAGATACCTGGATGAGAATTCCTAATGGTATAAACCAGAGCCTTCCAAATTGTGTGCTGTGACATGCTAGTGTGTCCCCTTCAGGGTATAGGTGTGTCATGCAAATGTAAGGCGAAATCTCTGAAATTATGCAAAATAAGCTATAAATCATATCCCATACATTTCATTGTTACAGTTTGAGTGTGTGTGTGTATCTCTTATAAGAAGTTCATTTAACCTCCAGTTTGCTAGTAAAGCTGAATGACTGTGTCGTGAAATTGTGTGTCACCAACATGAAACGTATGGAAAGCTCTGTTTTAAACTGTGAACCCCAGGATTTCATAGAATGGACTTGTGATCATTAGAGTAGAATCGCAATGCTATAATCATGTACTTCAAAAAGTAACGCTATATCCCAAACCATTGCAGTCTGCATTAGGCATTCCTGTAAATTCTGTTTCTCTCTCCAATGGTGGATAATAGCTTCCATGTTGCCAAGGTAGCGAATCTACTCCAAGCTTAGCCTCATCTGTAATGGAGTTATCCAAGGTACTAACATTTACGCTTCAGATACATTGCCCCACTGATATGGAAGTCACCAGAAGGCATTGTTATCTCTCTGCTTTTCTGAAATGTCATTGTGATTCCCTCCTTAACAGGAAGAGAGAGCCCGAAAGGAGGAAGAAGAATCTAGGAAGAGGGCTGAAGAGGATGCCAGGAAGAAGAAAGCTTTCTCTAACATGCTTCATTTTGGGGGCTATCTACAGAAGGTATATGGGTTTTACAGAGAAAGTAAAATGTTGTATTGCTCAGCATAGTGTAGTAAGTCTGCATGTGGATCTTTGCTGAGCTGAGCCAAATACCACCCACCAATTAGGCAGGAATACATAAGTGTCTGGTTAAGCTGCCATGGCCAGCCATTAAAAAATGGCAGCAATGCCAAGACCATCAGAGAACTTGGGTGGATATTGGTTTTGATGTCATCATTTTGTGTCTGGCTAAGGGTATATAGTCAGACACCTACAAACCTACCTGCTTTCCACAGAGTATGGAATAGTTCTGTGAGGGGCTTCAGAGTGTGTTCACTAAGTCAACAGGGAGGGCACTGAGGATGGAGGAATGCCAGTATGGGAATACCCATATTATACCAAAAAGGAAAACTTACCCCTGTATATGTGGTAGTGCATGATCTAGAAAAATATGGTAAAGCTATGTGGAGAGCAAAGCTATGCTTCCATAGGCCTTAGTTGTTCTTTTAATACATGACTCCACATAACATTCTACAACCACAGTCCATGTGCTTGAAAAAGTCAATGGTTGCAACAGAACATAGTTGCCCCTTCTATATTATGTATATTTATAGGATTTGTATATTTATAGAATTTTTACAATGTTTATGTGTTTTAATTATGCTGTAACCTGCCTCAAGGAGAGGCAGGTAAGAAATGAAATTATTGTTGTTGTTATTAAGCTATTAAAGTGCAACAGAGTTTTTGTCATTCTTGCCCCTGAGGCACTTTTATATTGGTTTCTTTAGACAGAGAAGAAAAGTGGGAAAAAGCAAACAGAGCGAGAAAAGAAGAAAAAAATCCTCAGTGAGCGTCGAAAACCTCTGAATATTGATCACCTGAATGAAGACAAGTTGAGGTGAGAAAGGAAAGGAACAGGCCAGCTGAAGAGATTCAACTGATAGTGTGATCTTGTGAGAATTTGTTGGTGGTGGAACTGAGAGAAAGCTTTCCTTTGAGGATCTTCAACCCTGGGCAAGCTCATATTAGGCGATACAGCCTTTCACGCAGTTTTGGTCCTAGCTGTTTAGAATTTTATAGGTCATAACCAGCCCTTTGAATTGTAGCTTTAAGTGAACTGCTACTTAACAAAGTCATTTCAGTGAGGGAGTTACGTATGGCAATCATTCTGGTAACATTATTTAGACCTGCTGCAGTTTCTGATCAGTTTCCAGAATCAGCCCTATGTTGTTATAGTAATCCAAATAAGATATAACCAAGGCATGTGTCACTGGCTACGTCAGATATCCACTGGAGCAGACACAAATGACCTTAAATGATGACTGATATATATGATCACTCAAATGACAACTCATATATGATCATTGCAAGTCAAGAAGCAGTAATGTTTTACTTTATAATGATATTTTATGCATGAAGCCCAAAACTATTGTTGTTAGCTGCCATCAGGTAAAGGTAAAGGTTTTCCCCTGACATTAAGTCCAGTCGTGTCCAACTCTGGGGTTGGTACTCATCTCCATTTCTAAGCCAAAGAGCCAGAGTTGTGCATAGACACCTCCAAGATCATGTGGCCAGCATAACTGCATGGAGCGCTGTTAAACTGCCATCAAGTTGACTTCAATTTATTGTGACCTCATGAATGATTGACCTCCAAGTTAGCCTATCCTCAACAGCCCTGCTCAGATCTTGCAGACATGGGGCTTCTTTGACTGAGGGTTCATTTACATGAATCCCAAAACCAGAGGTGGCTGAGAAGTCACTTCTGGACATCTGAAAAATGTTCAGGAATGCCCAGTCTTTATTACAGGATCAACCAGGTTAAGCTAGTCTAGCCCTGTGCTAAAGAAAACCCAGAGCAGTTCCACATTTTGGAAACAGTCTGAACAGCATGACCAGGTGCACAGGGAAAAGGGAATGGATTGGGCCACTGTTGTTGCTGTCACTGTTGCTGAATGGCAGTAGAACTTTGGCAATGGCAACAGTGAAAGGGAAGATAAAATGATAGTTACGAAGGGCTGAACTGTTTTAGGCACGTCTGCACAATGTAGACTCTGCCCAGCTATAGACATAGATCGGGCATAGAGCGTGTGGTTGCCTCTGGGGCCAGCCCAGAGTACCTTATTTCTGTTTTAGACTGGATTAAATGGCTAATATGCCCTGGCTTTATTATTAAACTATCTTTAAGGAATCACAATAGACAGTTAAGCCACTAGAGGGTGCGATGAGCACACACAAACACTAATTCATCAGGTAGACTTCATTGCTAATCCACATTGTCTCCTTTTATTCAGAAATCTTCATACTCATCAATAGGCTTATATCTAGCAGACCCAGTTCTAGTATCATAACTTGTGAAACTGGCATAAGTCAAAAGGCAGTCCATATACATTTAAAGATAACTATTAAAGATAAGGAAATAAATTGGGTGGATTGTGAGCTATGGCAGTTGGAACTTTCAAGAACTTTGCAGACATTCCGAATAATGTTTGAAAAATTCCCCCACACAATATGGTATTACATGGGCTAGGTAAGGTGTCGTCTGGAGTCACACATGCCCCTTGGGATTTCTAACCCCCAGCCATGTCTTTGCTGTCAGTGAAGGTACTGCACTACAATGACTACCAACCCCTTAAGATTCGGCTGGGATGTGTTAGCAGGGTGTGTGTTTCGGGTCCTTTAGCAGATCTGCATTCCAAGCAGACTGCTGGAAGCAGCATTCTGCTGGGAAACAATGTGTTTTAGCACATTCCCTGCAGTTTGGTGACAGGCGATAGAGTAGGAAAAGGTGTGAACCCTTGGTGGGATACAGGTGATTCAGTGCCCTATGTTCAAGCTAGGACATTGCCCTTCACAGCATACCTCATCAAAGGAACAGGCTGAAATAGACATAGACATCTTTATTCATATTCAAGCATATCCCTTCACACTCAAAGCTCTTTAATGCTACATAGTTATAGACACCTTGATTTCTGTGGGAGCTTTGGGTGCTGCAGAAGGAAGAGAACAGTAGCCTCCACAATGACCAGAAAATGTATATGCAAGTGTAAGGTGGGCTTATACTTGTGTATGTCTCTAACAGGAAACCAGTCATTGTTTGGCATTCTTTGGCAGAAAATTGGGCCCCAAACATATCAGTTGCCCATTCTGTCATATATGCATGCATGTATATGTGTATAATCATCTGTATGAGTAAACAATTTATCTTCACAGCATGCACCCACACACATTGTTGGACTATATATAATCCATGTACACTAATAAAATCACTCACACAATTTCCATATTCATTTCCACACATGACCACAAGGCTGTATATATAACCTTTTCATCCACATGTACTCAAGAAGAGTGTAAGTTGCAGTTTGGTATTCTTCAGGTGTGTTGGACTCTGTATGTAAAAATTGGCTACTACTTTGGCTGATGCTTCATGTTTTCACATCAGGGAAAAGGCCAAGGAATTGTGGCAAAATATTCATGATCTAGAAGCTGAAAAATTTGACTTGCAGGAAAAGTTCAAGAGACAGAAATATGAGGTAAGTTTGAATGACTGTTGGAAATTCTAGCTTTCTCAGCTCAAGCAGCTGAATGTAGCTTCGAAGACTGAGTTGATAGGGAAGTCACCTTCCATAGTCATTGCAGCAATGTCAACATTTGGTGTTGAACAGATTGTGTAAAAGATAGCATGGACAAATCCATTAGTGAGAGGGAGGATAATGCTTCCTGAAGGCGTCTCTACTTGGTCTCAGTAGCATCACAGGAGAGCCAGTCAGACTGTCACCATCTTTTTCACTATATGATCCCTGGATGGCTAGGATCACTTGTATGACTGATACAGGAAGCATTCTTTCCATGATCATTTAGTGTCATTTTCTCTGATGACGCTTTGCCTTGATGAGTCATATAAAAGCTTTTAGACTCCCAGTGATCCCTCCAAAGCTCTGATTTTAGAGGTGGGGGCATCTGAAAACATCCTTAGTTTAGAGGAGGTTGCCCACCAAAAGTCAAAAGTGCCATGAAAATTATGGAATTATGGAATTTTCAGTCGCAATAAGTGGACGTGATGCGACCTTCACAGAACAAGGATGAGTCCAAATTATCCACTCTCTGCACAAGCCTACTACTGTCCTACACAGTTGGGATAATTCACATAACTTCTAAATTAAAAGAAAAAATGGCACTGAAACTGCATTAAAGTGAAGAAATCGTGTTAAAGAAGAAATCAAAAAGAGAAAAAAGTGGACTTGCTTATAATTAGCACTTTTCTCAAAAATATTTTCTCTCTTTCTGAAAGTCTTTAAAAGCAACCCCATAACTAAAATAGACATACATTTGTTCCCACCATAGCTGTATCCAGGCTTCTTCCTTATAATTACTGTGAGGTTAACTCCCTTCTTTCTCCCAACGCAGAGCAAGTACAGACAAGGATGATTAATCTGACCTGTCTCTCTTGGATGGGAGCCTAGCTTTATCTCCATTTGAAATTTACATCTGAAATCAGAAGTGAACGATTTCTTATATACGTGGAATCAGATATGTCTCCACTTCATAAGAATCCAGCATTGTAGATTAAAATTAAACCATCAGTCCAGGCCTTTAAAGATCCAGTCCTACCCTTGTCAAGTGAGATATTGAAGGACCCCACAAGTCACATTGTAAATTACAACAGCCTCTGTCAAAGCTGGACTGGTGCATTCACCCTGACCAGGAAATATTTATGTCCAGAAGACCATGCTTCAAAGTGCCTGTCTTGTAACCCCACCCGTTCAATCAATGGATGTAGTAGTAAAATACTGCTGTAACAATTGAACTAATCTGTATTAAAATGGCCTTTAAATATACATATCTTTATTCTTAGAAGCCATAGCAATTTTCCAATCACTATGTAAACATAGTGTATAAATTTGGGCCAAAACAAAAGTGCAATTGAAAAAACAGTATTTGACTTGAAATTCTGGAAGTGGGGAGAGAAGCAGCTGAAAATAAGAGGAAGGAGCTACTTTAATAATAATAATAATAATAATAATAATAATAATAATAATAATAATAATAATTTATTTTGCCACCATGACCCCAAAGGGACTCAGGGCTGTTTATACGGGGACCAATTCAGTCAAACAGAATTAATATTTAACACAATAAAATGCATATACAAACAATAATAAAAACATAAATCATCATACAACAACCAGTAGCCGAGCATAGTGGACATTTCAGAACTAAGGGGCAAGGTAAGGACTTGTGCAATACAACTGCAAGGACAGGGCTGATAGTAAAGCATAAGAGCCAGATGATAGCTGAAAGGGCCAAGTCAATAAATGCAATACAACTACAGGGACAATAGTAAAGTGCAAGAGCTGGAAATTAAGTTTTGGCTAGAAGGGCCAATTCATTTAGTGAACCAATTAATCAAAGGCACATTGGAACATCCATGTTTTTAGATCTTTACAGAAATTGGACAGGTGGGTGCTAATCTAGCAATTATCTTTTCTCTTTAGCAGCATTGGTTCTCTTTTTAATGGTTTCCTGGAATTAAATGTACTTGAGATGTTTCTGGAAAAATTCCAAACACATACAAACATACTTTGATGGAAGAGTGACATCAATTGTTTAATGTTTTTTTCTCCCTGTATGCTAAGTACAGAAATACAAGCAAAGCATCCAGAAGAGAAATAGTACCTCCCAAAGAGGGGGGCTGACACTGTCTAATTTGATTCCCACTTCTCACCACTCTCCAAAAGAGAAAATTCACCCATTTTGCTATGCATAAGATGGTAGGGATGCTTTAGCTCGGCTAAAATATAAGCATGTAGATTTTATTAGCACATCAGTTTTAGGCACTCGGTCCCCGAAGGCAAGCAGATATAATGTAAGAGAGGCAGAGGCAACTTCAACCTCTTCCTTCAAAGCCTTCAGCCAGAGCCCTTTGTTAGAATTATCCTTATTTCTATAAGTCAGCCCCACTGACTTGCATTATAATTAATGTATTTTCCTTCTTCACCCATCATAATATCAAGCTGTTCTGAATTTTAGATTCTGATCCTTTACCAAACCCTTATGACATGGTGAAAAACTGTCAGTATATTCACTACATCATATCTCCTGATCCTGTTCACTGTTAGATAGAGCCCTACATCCTCATACTGGTATATTTATTTATTTACGACATTTATATGGCGGCCTTCTCACCCCAAAGGGGACTCAGAGTGGCTTGCAAGATATATATACATACAATATATAATATTATTAGCATAGTACAATATCAGTATTATATATTGTTATATTGTACTATACCATTATATTGTAATATTATTAGTAATATTACATGAAATATAAAATATATAATTGTAATATAATATTATTAGTATTAGTATTATATTGTATTACATTATAATATTATAAATATTATATGCATATACAATATATTACATTACATTACATTATATTATTAGCATAGCACAGGAGACAAGGCAATATCTATAATCGATAATATTTTCCTTCCTCTAACCCTGACCAGATTTTCATACTCACTGCACGCTGTGATGAGTTAAGCAAGTAGTAAGTATGACCTATTCCCTGCAAATAGTGAAGCATGGAACTAGGTGTGCCAAAACTTGCTTGGAGTATTGCCTTCTTATGTCTCAGTAAGACCTGGATGCTGTCATGATCTTCTCAACATGGTCCTTTGGTATCTTGCATGGCTGTCCTGCTTGGCTTGTTAGAAATTCTAAAACTACAGTTCAGTTTACCATGGTTATCCAGGCACTCCATGTTCCCAGCCAGATCCTTTGACAAAGGTAAATCAATGCAAGTGCTTCTGGGACAGTTATTTACTTTTGATTCTTACACAAGAAGTAGGAGTGAGGTGACACTTAAATTCAACAGTACTGAATTTCTAATTATCTACATTTGAACCTTTTGAAGGTATGCCTCATATAACTTCAGAAAAAGACCATGAAATAAATTGATCAATATATCATGTTTGAGCTGCTGAGTACTGGAGAGAAAGATGCTTTTGAAGACATATGGAGTCCAGGAACTACAGAACCTGTCACAAACCTGCAGCTTTACTTCCAAGCTGCTGCTATGGCAAAGAAAATCCATTTTCTAGTCTGATTAGAGATACACCCTGAAAAATAAAACAAAATGAGAGAGAAAAGACTTTACTCTCAATGCCTTCATGTGGACAGAGAACTGCATGGACAGCAAAAAGCCACTCAAGAGTTTCACACAAGGAAAAGGATTGGGACAGAGATATACAAATATTGTCCTTTATGGTTATCAGTCCTAACAAGGAGCCCCCAGTGGTGCAATGAGTTAAACCCTTGTACTGGCAGGACTGAAGACTGAAAGTTCATAGGTTCGAATCCAGGGAGTGTGCGGATGAACTCCCTCTGACAGCTCCAGCTCCACAGGCGGGGACATGAGAGAAGCCTCCCACAAGGATAGTAAAACATCAAAACATCTGGGCATCCCCTGGGCAACATTCTTGCAGACAGCCAATTCTCTCACACCAGAAGCAACTGGCAGTTTCTCAAGTTGCTCCTCTCTCTCTCACACACACAAATCAGTCATAATAAAGAGAATTCAGACAATTCACCAGAGCACTCATTTACATCAACAGTTACATTCTGTTTAATGTGTGCAGTCCATCCATGATCAGTCTTCTTTTCTTGCCTTCTTTGATGTCCTGAGACACAGTCCTTCTGTTTTCCACATGATGAAGCGTCACCGTGAAGCATCATCTATTGTCTATTTCTCTTGCAGATTAATGTTCTACGAAACCGCATTAGTGACCATCAAAAGGTGTAAGTACTTAGGATAATGTAACATCCCACTGCATTTCATGGCACTCAATGCACCTGGTAGAACTTCCACAATCACCCTCTTTCCCCTCACTTGCTTTTCTGTCCATGAAATACTTGCCACTGGGGATTTTTCATTATTCTCTGTACTCGGGTGTGCTTTATCACTAAATTTTTCTTTTCTTCCTTTTGTTCCCCGTTTCCACTCAATTACTAACTTTTGCTCCTCTGTTCTTAATTATTTGCCTCCTTTTCTGCTTCAGTGATCCATGATGACAATTTATTGTCATATCCTGTGCCTTCGTAATTATGTGATCACACATCTGGCTTCAGTGGAATTGATACTGTCAGCTTACTTTGCTCCCCCTCCAGATCTCATCCTGCCACCACTCCCCCGCCCCACCCTCCAATTTTGGTTTACTCTTGCTTTTTTAAAAAAATGCTTCTTGGGTTTCAAACGTATTAATATTTTTCCTTGCTTGAATTATTTAGTGGGTTCCATCCAGACAAGTGGTGAAATGTTTGCTTATTTTGTTATTGCACAAAAGAGCAAGACATTTAAAAAGTTTTATGTCCATGGTGGCAACTTTGAGAGTTATTCCCCATGTTTTGATGATTTTTCACATCTTCAGACTTTATTTGCATAAATAGGATTTGCGCAAAAAACAAAAAGTGCACTTGAAGACAAAATACTGGTCATTTTGCTCTTGTGCAAGAATTTTTTGCTGAAGCCAATATTTGTTTGATGAGGTGTCTCAATGTGTCAAACTACTTTTTTTCTTAATCATGAGGACATTTCTGAATACTCTTTCAATCCCTGATCCAGACAACTATTCTTTGAGCAGAATGCTCTTTCCATTTTTCACCAGTTCCTCCTCCCTCCTCAAGACACTTGGATGCCTCTCATGCTCATCTGGAGTGTCTTCCAGTTCTTTGGAGCAGATTTTCAAGATTCGCAGGAGGGGACTTCAAAAGGATGGATTGATTAACAAAGATAATTAGCCCACTTTTTCCAGAGCTAGCAGTCTGGAAGTCTGGATCCAATGCTATGCCCCCCCCCCCCAAAAGCCTTTCCTAATGTATTTTCTGTACTCTGTTTTGATTCCTATGCTTTTGTTATTTTTCTTTCTTAACTTGAATTCACATTTTCAATTACACTTCTCGCCAAGTTTTTTTTAATTTCACTGTTTCTCCATATAACTCTTGCATTACTTTTCCATCTTTTTTCTCTTATCTCTGAAAACTCTCACCTCCTTATAGCCTTTGATCTTCAGTTTCCTTACTACAATTCTCCTTTTAAAGATGTGTCCAGGAAAATTCCTGGGGAAATGGCTTCTTCCATTGTGTGTTGCTGCACTGTTGATATCAACAATGTGACCTCCAAATTCTTGCATAGTAGTCCATTACTTTTCCATCTTTTTTCTCTTATCTCTGAAATCTCTCACCTCCTTATAGCCTTTGATCTTCAGTTTCCTTACTACAATTCTCCTTTTAAAGATGTGTCCAGGAAAATTCCTGGGGAAATGGCTTCTTCCATTGTGTGTTGCTGCACTGTTGATATCAACAATGTGACCTCCAAATTCTTGCATAGTAGTCCATTACTTTTCCATCTTTTTTCTCTTATCTCTGAAATCTCTCACCTCCTTATAGCCTTTGATCTTCAGTTTCCTTACTACAATTCTCCTTTTAAAGATGTGTCCAGGAAAATTCCTGGGGAAATGGCTTCTTCCATTGTGTGTTGCTGCACTGTTGATATCAACAATGTGACCTCCAAATTCTTGCATAGTAGTCCACACATAGAGACATATCCCACTACCTGTCCCCTGAATTTGGTGTCACTCTTTGTAAACATTGTTGAATAACTCTTACACTTCCCATCGTTCTCTTTGGTCATGGTGGGATGGAGAATAAAGGCTCAAAGAGGCTAAGGAGTCTGCTTGATAGTCTACATATATTATTTCAGGATAGAATATGGCCATTCACTTGAACTCTTGACAGGAGTTTTGATCACTATGTAGAAGATGCTTCTTTATATTAAAAAAAGAGAGCAATATAGCTGTCTTGCAAAGTGGTTGCACTGAAAAAACTGTTGGACAGTTTATCAGTCCAGAAGCGAAGGGCTACATGAATAAGAAAAGCCTTGGATTTTTGCCAAGGGAGTGCACAACATTGTGGTGCTTCAAGTAGAAAGCAATATGGAAGCCTCTTCTGAGTGTGTCTACAAAAGCCAACTGGACTGGCAAGTGAATCTTACTTCAAAATAGGCCATGGAAGCAGCATCCTCCCCAGCATCCAATGGACACAGCATACCTTAAGCTATCCACATAATACACCTGTCCCTTCTCCAAGAGCTTCTTGTCTTCTCCCAGCATCCTCTGCTTGAAAGGACTGCTGCACTCTGCCTTTTGTTAGTGAGCACATCAAATCAAACCTGTAGATTAGCCAGGATTTTTATATCCTATTTATATCTTGTTTCTTCTTTTGTTCTCTTCTATGTGATTCAGCAAAGGGTGAGTAGCATGCTTTGCCCTATGGGATATGCATAGTGTGCTGTGATTTTTTTGTGCGCTGTTATGAGAAAAATGTCTTTATACACCATGCTTCAAATAGATACTTAATCCATAATGTGCTGGATGTGGCTGAATAGAGATACTTTAGCGCCTGGCAACCAAATCTCAAAAATGTTAGAGTGGTATTTTAAAACTCATGTGATTCTGACTAGCAGCTATTTCATGCATTATTTTACATGTGCGCATAAGAATGTGGCATTTTAACTTGTTGGTGGTTTATACTGGCATCTCATCCAGTTATGCTGAAAGAAGTATTTTTATACATGCTTGCATTATTTATGTATTTATTTATTTATTTAATGACATTTATATGCTATCCTTCTTACCCCAAAGGAGACTCAGAGCAGCTTACAAGTCATATGTACATACAACATACTGCATAAGTATGATCTGGTACTTCCTAATACAAGCAATTAATCTTTGAAGTACGGTCAGTTGTCTAAAAGGCCAATGTATATATGGATGGCATAGGCCAACTTTGGCCCTCCATGTGTTTTGGACTTCAACTCCCACAATTCCAAACAACCAGTAGGAAGTCCAAAATACCTGGAGGGCCAAAATGTGTCCATGCCCATATAGATATAGATATGTGTGTGTGTGATTGGTTGGGGGGGCCGCACCAAAAATACTCTTTGCTTACCATTGAAAATTACCTAGGGCCGCCTCTGCCTGCCATAGATGCAGGTGAAATGTCAGGAGAGAACACTTCTAGAACATGGCCATACAGCCTGAAAAACCTACAACAACCCAGTGATTCTGGTCATGAAAGCCTTTGACAGTACATTAAAAATATAAATAAATGCTTCCTTAAGTCTTATACTAGTAGAAAGGCAAATGATAAATTAAACAGAGAGCTAAAAATGCATGAAGAAACGTTTTCATCCTAAAAAATTCTTATACAAAAATGAATCAACAGAAATTCTCATCTGTGACCTAAAACAAATACAGAAAGCTGAGGGCATGATTGGAAAGTTCTGAACATAAATATCATCCTTAATCTGACTGTAAGACAACCCCAGATTTAGAAACAGCTGTTTCCCTTTCTGAGAAGCAAGACAGATGCACAAGGCAGTCACAATGGGCTGGGAAGCAGGCAAAATTTTAGAAATTGCTTGACTGGCTCATCAACGATTTCAGCTGACACTAAAGCTGCAGCTAACATGACTTCATCAGCTGCTTTGGTGACTATGCATTCTTGCTCTCTGAAATGCTTTCCAGCTGGCTCATAGATGGCCAGACTCCAGGGCAGCATCTCAATTTGCAAAGGCCTCATAAGGAGGAATGAAAGGTAACTAGGAGCTATTAATGCTAAATGTTAAAATTGCATGAACAGAAGCATGCCTTATATGGGGTTAAGGAATTTGTCATTCCATCAGGTGTTGCTAAATTGTAGCTCCATTCAGCCACAGATAATAGCAAGTAATGTTGGAAATGGTGGTTCCATGCATCCACAAATGATGGTTGCTGTTACAGCTAGAATTACTATGAGTATTATTATGAATATGAATACTTCCTCATGATCAGCTACAAGCACTGTTATTGAACACTGTTGCTGTTACTATTAACTTTATTTATCTCCTGCCTTTTCTCCCAAACCAGAACTCAGGGCAGCCTACATATTAAAACCAACAATAATATAGGTAGAACACAGAAAAGGCTTAGACTGTTCTAAAAATGAGGACATTTTTTAGTTTTCAAGAGACCATTATTCTACCCTCTAGTTTTCTCCAATCAGGCACCCTCCAGATGTGTTGGAGTACAACTCCCACAGTCATCTCCCAGTATGCTCAACTAACTGGAGATAACAGAACTTGTAGTCCAAAACATTTGAGGAACACCATGTACGGCAAGACTATTCTAGGTAGTGAAAGATGACTCAAGTCTGTAGTACAAACCCATTGCTTATCATATCTGTTTAACTATACCTGGTGCCAATAAGAATTACAGATTAGTGAAAATACTGAGAATTCTTTAGCCATGTCCCAGTTACAAAACTGTCTTTCCCAGGGCCTCCTGGAAGGGAAAGAACCATCTTTATTTCAGTGAAAATATGTGGTGTCTTAGGCTTAAGTTCCTTGAAGACATCAGAACCTGTCAATTCTTAGAAGGTAAGCAGGATCGGTCTGGGTTAGTAACAAGGGAGTAATGGAGTAACAGGTCAGATATTGAAGAGGAAGGCAATGGCTAGCCACTTCTGCCTAAGGAAATTCTATGATGTTCATGGAGATACCATAAATCAATACTAAACTTGAAGAGACATACATGTAAATTCATGGTGTAGATGTGGTTTTTAATTTCCAGCTTCTGATCTCCCCTCTTATTCTTTAATGTATAAAAATGTGATAGTGTTGCATAGTAACCACACTGCATTTGTATTGCCTCTTGTTACACTTTATGTGAGTGTCACTGAATAAGGTCACCAATAAGAAAATACTCATTTGCTTGTTTGCTTTCCCAACAGCTCAAAAGCTACTCGTGGAAAGCCTGTGGTTGGAGGCCGGTGGAAATGAAAGATTCTTCAGATCTAACCTGTGGAGAAGGCAGAGTGGCATATTTCTGCTTTGGTCAGTCTTTGACCAAACATCCCATTACATGCAGCCCAAAGAAATGCACCAACTTTTCTAGATGTTTCAGTCCCAACTACCTTCCAAAGGTTTCACTCTGTAGAATGATTATAGCTGTGTGTGCAGCACTCTCATGACTTGGAGAAAACACACTATTTCTGTGTGGAAATTATTGTGTCACCAAAGTTAAGAATCTTGTGTCTGTAAATAAAGCAAATCATAAAACAGTACCTATTTCCTTTACCTTGTTGCTCACCATGTAACCAACAATGTTTTATTCAATGTTGACAAAATGCTCATATAAAATGAAAGAATATAATCAGGTAACCATTTTAAAGCAAACAAAACATTTTGGATCTTCAAAAATTCTAAAATGTATTTGGGGATTTTCCCTTTACATTAGATTATCTTTTTTTATAGTTTCTGTTTTGCTGGTTTATACCATTCTAATTCTATGCTTTTTTTAACATCCTGGGGAACCCGGCAAGGCAAACTTATTTGCTTTCTCATTTTTCTCAGTGTTGCTGTTTACATATTCTCAGTAAAGGATTCTGAAGGTAGCAGCTGTTTACCTTTTCTATTGCAGGCAGACACATATAACTACTGTAAAATTGGCCAGATCCAAATCCTATTACTTCCTAGCTCAAACTTTATTGCATTGCTTATTGCAGACTCATACATGTTCATGCCTGAAACCAAAAAGTGTGTGTACCTTCAACACTTGGGAGAAGCAAATCACCATGAACATACTGCATGCAATAGAGCTGTTTCAAGCAACAGAAACAGAATTCATTCCTATTTTAACTAAAATCTTTCAACAAACATGAAGAAGAAAAAAACTCCACAGAATTGAAATGCTCAATATACACTCTAAACCCCAAGAAAGGTAATACTGGAGATTGCAATAACCATAAGACTATTCTATTAGACTCCCATGCAAGCAAAGTGCTGCTCAAAATTCTACTATGATTTTATTTGCCATATATGGAATGTCAAATGCCAGATATCCAAATTCAGGAAAAAGACTTATTAAGGACCATATTGCAAATAGATGTTGGATAATGGAGCACCTAAAGCTATAGAAGAACTAGATTCTTCCTGTGAGCTTATTCAAATGCACTAGATGTGCAACAATAGAGCAGGATAGGAAACACGTGGAGCTTCCAGATGTTGAACTGCAACCTCCACAATCACTTATCATTGTTTCACTAATAGCCTCATCAGAAAGGCCAGACGAAGTGTCCCTCTTCATCTGGCCGCCATGACAAAAGAGAAGGGGCAGTGGAGTGAATTTGTCACCCTGTCCACAACTCCCTCTCAGTGATGCTTTTCCTATCACATGGAGCCAGCACAACACGGGAAGCCTCGCATATGCTTCTAAACCAGTTGGGGGCAGATCTACCACTTGAAGTCACACAATGTCTTGTGATATCTGGCTTGGGGCTCCATTCTAAAGAGAATGTTCTAGGACACTGATTTGGGTAAGTATGATGAAGTCCCGAGTGAGGACCGTCAGGAGCTGCCAACAAACATCTGTGTGCAGTGCCAGCTGATGGCTTAGTAGAGTAGGGAATCCATTCCAGATTTTAGACTAAACTTTAATAGAACTATCTAAAGTGCTGAGCTTGTTTTGATGGTAGGGATAATACCTTTGAATTTTGGTTTGCCTCCTCAACCAGATTCGCCATTCTGCTGACTTGTCTCCACTATCTCTAGGGCCACACCTTGCCCAACCTTACTAAAACAATAGTGGCAGCAAGGGGAATGATCCAAGACGCATGAGTGAAACAGCAAGGTGTAAGGACTGAATTTATCAGGCATGAACATATTGTGCAGCCCTGCTCATGAGAAAGCTATATAACAAGAAACGGTCAACAATGAGGCCAACAACTAGCCATGCTGTGGCCTTTCTTGCTCAACCAAAAACATTGATTTAAGACCTCTTCACACAGTAGTTACCAGCAGAAGGGAAGGCACAGGGGGTGGCTTGTGGCTCCCCGTGCACCCTTCCTCCTTCCCCCATCATACGGTGGGGACAGGACAGGATGGATTGGCACCCTGTCCCTGTCCCCATTAAATGAAAGGGCATCAACACATGTTGCCCTGCTGCACTTTCCTCCTCATGTGGGGAAAAGGGGAGGAAGCTACATCCAAAGGAGCTACCCAAAACACACTTCCTGCCCCATTGTGGTGGAGGAAGTGCCTTTTGGCACTTCCTCTCCACTTTGGGAGATATGTGGGCAGGGCCTTCTGAGTATTGTTTGATGATGCTTGGCAGTCCCCATCCAGGCCTGGCCAAAAGCAGAAACAGAGCTGTTTGAAGAGGCCCTTAGAGGTAAATATCTATTGCTGTACATTTTCTATAGTTTGACAGAAGATGGCACTCTGACATCTGGCTTTGTCTTGCAACATGACCACACCTTGCTTTTGATTGTGTGCACATTATTAGCCACACCAAATTGGGAGAGTCATTTCAGCCAAAGAGACCTCTCAGCCCACCAGTACAACTGAGTCAGAGAGCTGAGTCAGCTGGTGAAGACCTGAAAACTGCCAAGCATTGGGCAGAGCTTTCCCAACAGTTCTCTAATTGCCACCAAATATTTCCCTTCTACTTTCCTCTCTAGATATGATAATGCCTTGTCATTGGCTTTGAGCAGCTGTTTTTTCAGTCTCACCCCTCCAATTCAGTCTCCTTGCTCTGGATCAAGAAGGAGGAAGGGGAAGGAATGACCTTAAAATGGGAAATCAGTTTATGTGAGGCACAGTGAATTGTCTTAGAGAAACGGTTTTATGATGTTTCTATAGTCTTAACTTATGGCAACAAGAATGATTGACAACTGGGAAATAGAAGGAGAAAACGTGGAGGCGTGACAGACTTTGTATTTCTAGGTGCAAAGATTACTGCAGATGCAGACTGCAGCCAGGAAATCAGGAGACGCTTACGCAATGAAGATCTGCATAGTTAAAGCAATGGTATTCCCCATAGTTACCTACGGATGTGAGAGCTGGACCTTAGGGAAGGCTGAGCGAAGGAAGATAGATGCTTTTGAACTGTGGTGTTGGAGGAAAGTTCTGAGAGTGCCTTGGACTGCGAGAAGATCCAACCAGTTCATACTTCAGGAAATAAAGCCCGACTGCTCATTGGCGGGAAGGATAGTAGAGGCAAAGATGAAGTACTTCGGCCACATCATGAGAAGACAGGAAAGCTTAGAGAAGACAATTATGCTGGGGAAAATAGATGGAAAAAGGAAGAGGAGCCGACCAAGGGCAAGATGGATGGATGGCATCCTTGAAGTGACTGGATTGACCTTGAAGAAGCAGGAAGTGGTGACAGCTGACAGGGAGCTCTGGTGTGGGCTGGTACATCAGGTCACAAAGAGTCGGAAATGACTGAACAAATGAACAACAACAACATAATAGTCTTAACAAGAGAGCCTAGGAAAGTTCCAAAGATTTAAAAGATAGTTAGAATCCTGCTATGGTTTTATGTGGGTGGTTGGACTTTTCTGGAGGTTGTGCAAGACTCACATTCTCCTTAGAGTTGTACAAGCCCTATGATGCTAACATAAAAAACTGAGCAAACTGAAGGTGCTTCCAGACATAAATTAAACCCTCTTCAGAGCAGGGTTTCAAGATGGCATTGCGTCACACAAAAACTCCCTGAAAATGTCTTAAAGATAAAGTAAAACTTTCCAAGTCACAATTAGGCCTCTGTTTAGACCTCCTGGAATGTACCAATGATGTGCTAGGAGCCTGGGGGGGGGGGAGCGATTTGCTCCCCCCACCTCCTAGCATGCCATCGGTACATTCCAGGAGGCCTGCAGAGAGACCTAATGGTGACCCAACAAGTTTTACTTTATCTTTAAGACTTTTTCAGGGAGTTTTTGGGTGACCCAATGCCATCCTGAAAGTTTTTGGGATGGCATGGGGACAACCAATTGGCAAAGCCCATGTTTTACCCAAGGTGTGGGGAGAGAGGGTTGGGGGAGGTGCACCCTCCCAATTTCTCTCGACTTTTGGAAGCCCAAATGTGAGATGGGTGTAAGGACTAACCCCTTGGTAGTTCCATGATTACCCAGGGGTCAGTCCCCACAGGGCCCATGCACCATTAGATAATGGGATATCTAAATAATTTGGGGCAAAGAATGGTTACCTGCTATGTTTCAAATTTTTTCACTTTTACCTGAGACATTGTTCAGACATCTCAGGTAAAAATCCAACAGGGCACTGTTTGGAAGGGTCCTGACGGATATTGCCCAGAAGTTAGTATATTCCTTAGCAGTGAGCTGGGAGTAAGAATTATTGTCACAGAAAGGTAAAGTGCATAGCCACATTCCTTATCATATGATTGTGCAAAAATGCCATTCAGTACTGCAGCATTACATCATTTTATGCTACACACCTGGTGAATTACTCCCAGACTCCTCCATTCAATTTGTCATTGACCATTAGATCTAGTGTTGTGGTAATTGTTCCAAATATTTTGTCTGAAAAGTAACCTTTACAAGTCAGCATGCCCAATAGAAAGTGATGATGAGAAATTGACAATTGAAGGAACAACAATTGAATGAACACTTTTTGTCACTCTTGCGTTCCACTCTCTGATATTGGTACTCTTCAATGCTCTTAAGATGTCTGACTTATGAAGATGCTAAGGCAACATTATCAGAGAGCTTTCTTGCTGGGGGGAGTTTTTCTTTGTCATGCTCTGAGAGTAAAGGAGTGTGGCTTGCTCAAAGTCACCCAGTGTATTTCCATGGCAAAGTGGGGATTTGAACCCAAGTCTCCAGATTTTAAGTCCAATACATAAACCAGTACACCAACATAGCCTCAGCTAAAATGAAGAAAGATGTAATTTGTCAAAACGAGCATGAGGCAATATGATTTGGAATGTTTTAATTTCATGTGTGAATGTATACCAAAAGCAACTAAATGAGACACAGAGATCTCTGATCTTAGATCAGCACACAGAAACAGACTCATACATTTTTTTTTGTTTTTCATTACACATGAACACAATGATTTACAGAGTTTTTTCATAAAGCAATGTTTCAATTGGTATATTAACATAATTAATTTCTTCATTACATTAAACCAATCATTAACATAAATAATGTTATGTTGGTTTGTTTAGATAGATTTTGGTTAATGTCAGACTTTTTTATGTTTTCTGATCTTGTTTAACCATTGCCAACTGGCATGTAAAGGCAGGGAATTTTCTGAAGCC